TCACACGTGATCTGTTAACCTTCTTTCTCCATACCTGTCCTTTTCCTTAAATAGAATGAATCTCTTTCAATGACAGGCCCGTCCATTCTTTTATGTTGTCTTCCCATCGCTTTCTCTGTCCGCCTTTTCTTCTTTTTCCTGTAAAAAAAAAAGGATCTACTACTGTTCCACTGTAGGAATATCCCTAATTTAGTAAACAACATCGGAGTTTCCTTTGTGTCTGGGTTAGCGCAACTTAATGTTTTTTTAATGTTCCATCGTGTGGCGTTCATAGAATTCTAAGTTCAGGAAGTTATTCTACACACTAAATCTGGGGCGCTGGTAAGTGTGGATGTTTGGGGTTTTGAACAGAAAACTTCTACCCAGCATGCACTTGTGATCTAGAGTAGTCTACTGCTAGTAAGACTGTTGGTACGGTTAGTGAGTTCTAATATCGCTGTTCATTTCTTTAAAGGCAAAATCGAAGAGATAAAAATTATGTACTAATTAGTGCATTGCGTCTTAGTTGATCTTACTGTTTGTTATTAGCCTCCTGTTTGTTATTGGCCTTGTAACGATCATTTGTTGTTTTTTTAGTGCTTGATGTAAAGCTTTCTTGATGTTACGATGAGATTCTGTTGATCAGGCAGTGCGTTTCTTTTTTTTAAACAATTACTGAACACTCAAATAAGATAGTTATGCCGATGATTTAAATGCTAACTTTATTCAAACAATGAAGATCCTTCCACAATAAATACACAACTTTCATTCTGGAACTAGGAATCACTTGAATAGAATACACACGGTACAATAGAATTAAATAAGTAAACTCTCTTCGTTCAAGCTCATAACTACGACTCGGCTAAAACTAGATATTTCTACAACTGATCTTTTCTCTCCCTTCCAAAAACTTTTTTTGTTAACCTCTCTCTGCATTTGCGAACAAATCAAACCTTTCAGCCCCTGCTAAATCTTGGCTCCTAATTCTCTGTGGCATATGACGTCTCGAGAGACGATCTTCTCCCTTTGCAAACTTCTTGTGTGACTCAAGAGGCCAATCCTTGATACACAGCTGCGGTCGCAGGTTGGGCATATGTAATCACCAGCTTCATGTCGCGTTTGCATACACCCGTATACCGTTAAAGTGGGCGACCAGCGGCTCTCCTGCCTTCTATTAGATCGCCATACAGAATGACTTGTGGAAGTCGACCTACTGGCATTCTCCTTTTATGGTCATGGTCAATCCCTTCTGTTCCGAGAAAGCATACTTGCTGCATGAACCCGTCGACAATCAACCTTGACGTTGCTAAGGATAGGGTTACAGAAAACTAAAAATAAACTTAGCTGCATTAAGCTACGTGACAGGCATCCTGTTTGTTATTGACCTGGTGTTTGTTATTAACCTGGTAATTGTTATTGACCTGGTGTTTGTTCGCCTGGTGTTAGTGTTGATCAGACAATTCATTTTCCTGTTATTGGCCCAGTGCACAAGGGATGTAGCTTTTTTTCTCTCCCCGTGCATTGAGCTGTTTGCCTTGAGCCAACAGTTTCTCCATACCAGTATGTCAAAAGTTGGATCACAATAAAAGACAGTAAAGACACTTTAGTTCTTACCTAACAGTGTTTTACGTTTCTTTGCACTATCTGTATTTTGCTGTTATTGTTGTGTTTTCTTTTGTTGTTGTGTTGTTTTTTTTTAAATTCCTATTGTAAGAAGAAGACTTCGAATTCATTGTCATCGTGGCGATTTTTTCATTTATGCGACCGGAAGTCTCCATATCTTGACCGTGACATTGATGACGTCATTCTTGTCTTTATGACTGATCAATTTTAAAGTGAGAGGGTTAGTTCTATTATTGGGGGTCCGGGTGCAATTTAAAAATTAAAATGACAGCCTCCGCGAGTCACGTGAATCAAATGCATTTATCGTGCATGTGTGTTTCTGCTTATAAGTGTGTGCATGTGTGCTAGTGAAGATAGAGGTGTGTTTGTTTGTCCGATGAAAGCTGGCGTAAGAGAGAACGAATGATTTGTCCATGCTGATATGGAAGCAGGCAGTCATTTCCCTGGCCAATGTTAGAGAGGCTTTGTGTGTGCGCACGCAGGCCAGGGTGCCATGTACAGCCTGGCTACCGGAAGAAGGAGGCCCGGCAGTGGAGGGTCAAGTGAACAGCCGCTTTTGTCGTTGGTCATTTTCTATGAACGCACACGATTGTCCTCGTGTGTGTCTTGTCTTTATCTCGAAACGTTTTGAGCTTACAGCTCAATGTTGTCTGCATCCATGTCTGTGTTTATCTCGAGACGTTTTGAGTCTTCTACATATAAGACTTTGATGTTGTGCGTCTCTTGTCTTGTAATTATCTAATTAAACTATCAACTAGCATGAACTCTGGGTCAGATAACGATGTCAGTAAACACTTGCTGGAAGAAGGTTTAGGCCATTGGATACGGAAAATATTTGACTATCTGAAATGTACAAATGTTGAGAAACGCTGGACTTAAGCAGAAATGAAGCAGTAACCAATTACACGGACTCTCCAGGCCAGGAGAAAGACAATTAGGGGGGGGGGGGGGGCAGCGGAGTCTGCTTACTAGAGTATCTATTTTCACAAATACATTGGCCAGGAAGTTGGGGAAACAGTTGGTTGTCAATAGTCATAGTTATCTCACTTGTACGCTTATTAGACTTGTGCTGAGCTGACATTCGTCATGTAGGCCTCTTTCTGTGTTCATAGAATTGATCTTTACATTGATTCCAGTAGTGGCTCTAGACTCTACATAGTGTTTGTGTTCTTAAATGGTAGTCCGTTGGGTTGTAGCCCCAGACAGCTAGTCCCAACTAAACAGTCGTAGGCCTATTTCTGTGTTCATAGAATTGATCTTTACATTGATTCCAGTAGTGGCTCTAGACTCTACATAGTGTTTGTGTTCTTACATGGTAGTCCGTTGGGTTGTAGCCCCAGACAGCTAGTCCCAACTAAACAGTCGTAGGCCTATTTCTGTGTTCATAGAATTGATCTTTACATTGATTCCAGTAGTGGCTCTAGACTCTACATAGTGTTTGTGTTCTTACATGGTAGTCCGTTGGGTTGTAGCCCCAGACAGCTAGTCCCAACTAAACAGTCGTAGGCCTATATTGTATATAGAGCTTGACTCAAACGTGAACAAACGTTTTTAACCTAATTGAACGCATCTTTTGTAGGCAATACACGTAGCTTCCACTTCCCATGGAGATAGAGAACAAAAAGAACACAAAATGCACATCGCTTCAAAACAATCAACACACAATCCTTCTATAGCTCAGTCTCCGAGTTGAACCGAGACTTGAACCCAGACCAATCGTCACGGTAGGCCTGAACTTTGACACGTGACGTGGGAAACCTGTGCTCAAGTGGGGACCAGTAGCTCGTTGTCACGTCACAGGTCAGAGTTCAGTCCTACTGTGGCGTTTGGTCTCGCTTGAAGTGACTTTCATCGGTCGTTCCTCCCTATTTCTAAAAGTCGTCTGCTGTAGTCTTACTCAAGGTTACATCAGACTTCACCAAGCAATACAGCCACTTCATGACCTTTGACTTTGCATGCTCCATACTGAAAGAACTGTACATTCATATCCTTCTCTTTTAGACATCACCAAGAGCTATTTAAATTGTGCAAACAGATTGTCGACGTTCTCTCTCTTGGCTTTCAACTGTAGTTTCTAAAAGACAGTCTTGTTAGTGTGAAGTCTGTTTTTTTTATTTTTATTTTTAATGTGTCCTGTGTGTTTGTCTTGTAATGCTGGATGTTGTTGTATAGAACTTACAAGCTGCCTAGTTTGCCTATGCCAAAGCCCGGCCATGGGAAGGGGGGGGGGGGGCCACTAGTAAAAGTTTGATATACACTAGTCTGCATATGAAACCTCCGCACTCATGAACATTTTCTCAAACATTGCAAAAGCTTTAGTATACATGACAAAGCCTTTTGCAGATTGAGGATTGAAAGCATAATGTAAAAGTGGCGAGACCACTATGCGCTGGACTATAAGCCTACTATGCACTGGACTAGTAGATTGAATGCCTCAATGTATGGTCATGTGTGTAGTCTGTGTATTTCTTTTGTTTTTTAACTATTATTTTTACATGCTGTATATAAAATAGCTTAAAGCGTTGAAACAATAATGTAGAGAAGAAAAAGAAATAGATCAAAAGGGAGATAATTATACTTCACAGCCATGGGAATGAGTTGTGTCCCCTGTGTTTTGTTTACACTATGGATTCATTCTGTAAGTCGCTAGTTCATTTTAGTCTCTTGTATTTTTCAGTGGATGTACCTGGTGCCTCTGATTATCATGATGGTCATCATGTCTTCTGCAGACCAGCAAGGTCAAGGTGGTGGCGGCGGACGTTAATTACAGACATGGTGGTAGTTCCTCGACTGTTTGGCTTCATGTCCGTGGGTGTGCGTGTGTGCGTGTGTTTGGCTTCGTGTCTGTTTGTGTGTGTTTGGCTTCGTGTCTGTGTGTGTGTGGAAGATGGGAATATTTCCAATGACTGCCAATGTTAATGTCAACTTTTGTGTGCGTCTAGAATTGAGAAGGTTTACTGTAAAGATAGAATTACAAAGTATAATCAGAACTGTCTCTAGTGGGTCTGTATGTCTCGAATTTGGTACCTAAAACAAAAACTTAGAAAAAAAAATGTTTGATACACAATTTTCCGTCGCTTCTATTTTGACAAGTGCGTTTGAACTGTTGGAACTAGATCTATTTAAAATGAGTACAATGGAACTCTATAGGAAAAACTTGACTGAGGTCTTGTGGAGCTCACATCAAATTTTGTTAGAACAAATGAAGGTAAAGACTCTGACCCAAAGTTAACCCTTTGCTCTATCAATTTAAGTGATAGTGTGAAAATGGCTTTGTTTCATAACATTAGACACCTGAAAGTGCAAGGGTTAACACGCTGAGAGGCTGGTTAAACGGATGACAAATGTGCGTGCTGAATGAAGATAACTGAAATCTTGTGGGAGAAACAACCTCGCCCACCTCCCCCCCCCCCCCCCGCCATGTCAACATGGGCTGATGAAAATGTTGATGTTATTGTGTCCAAGGAAAAATCTGCTAGCAATTTGGTGACATAATGGTTCTAAAATTAGCCCTGTACATGTGCTGGGAGTGTCACGAAATGAATATTTGAATTTTAGCGGGTTGACTTATGTTTTTCAATAAATTTTTACTTGGATTCATTTTTGCTGTTTCATTTATTTATTTCTGAATGTTTTTGTGTCTTGATATCAACATGAAATAAACATGTTACTCAGGTCTCAGTGTGTTGCTCATTTGTGTTAAAATATTGCCATTGTTGTGATGTAACATTGTTGGTCTGTGACTGGGATGACTGTCTGGTCGTGGGAAAGGCACTGGACTGTCGTCTGGATGGTCTCAAGTCCAATCTCTCACCGCCGCCAGCTCCCGTCGTCTTAATTTATCTTATCTTATATAATACAGACGTTACTTCAAAAAAGAAGATGATTACGTCCTACGCGTCATGCATTCAGTCATGCATATTAACCATTGACCTAAAATCTGCCAAGTCACTGGTTTTCCTGGCTAGCTCAGGCAACCCATTCCATGCTCTAATAGCACTAGGGAAGAAGGGGCTAAGATACAACAATCTTCAGTTCTGAAGGCACATTCGAAACATGTCAAATAAAACAATGTTTTAATTTTTTGTAGAATAAAGGATTGGCTCCAGTAGTGTGACTTGGTGACCAAAAAGACCAAGCCATCAATGATACCATACGAGATAACTCCAAAACTTGATACACTTCAAATTTTGTAACCATTCAATCAAATCGTGTCAATAGCCAGTCAGTGTCACCCAGGTGAAGTCTATGAGCTGGTCAACACACACACACACAATGACACCCTGGTCAGTATTCTCAGTTCACACAGATAACAATAACACACTATCTAGAACAGTCGTGGGCCGCATTAAAAAGGTTTTGGGAATGGGGGCCGCATATATATATAAATATGTAATGTGAAGTATTTAACTGTTTACACTCAAGCATAATGTTCCTGAACTGTAGAACTAGCTTACTACTTGTGACTCCCAAAGAAGAACCCATTGTAACTTCTCTTTCAGGTCAGAATTTGCTTGGAGCTGAATAAACGTGTGCACAAAAGGATTAAGCTGATGTTCTCGATAACAAACTGGATCCAAGTCTGAAAATCTGCTTTCAAATTCAATAATCAAGGAATCCAAATAAGTCTTGTACTTTTCAACCATTTAAATAGAAATAGTTTCCACTTTCCGCAAAGTAAAATGACAAAGCCTGTTTTCACTTGCTTGCCTGGAGAAATGGGATAGCTATGTTTAAAAATTTTTAACATGCACAAACATTTAAAATGCAAACAAGCCTTTGTACTACTCTGGATTAAAAACATCCACTCTTCATTAGAAATATTAGTAACGAGGTCACAGTCAATGTCCTTTAAGGAACAACAATTTCTTCCTTGAGATCCCATATTCTTCTCAATACCTTGCACATGTTAAGCCAGCGGACACTTCTGTAGTACCGAACATCGAAATGTTTTGTTTACAAATCTTCAATTAATTTTCGGAACTGTCTGTGGTTAAAACCCCATATCTCTGATAAGTTTGATAACTGAGATGTTTAGGTCAACAATATGTTTGATATTTAATGCAGCTTTGCGCAAAACTTCCCGTTTAAAGTTTATGGTTCAGATATTGTTCTTTAATTTTTTACAAAACATGTTTTTTTCTATGTCAAAGCACGGGCTCCATTAGCTTTTACACCTGCCATCTTGTTAGAAGCCAACCCAACACTTTTAACACAGTTCTTCATGGCGTTGAATAAATACTGGTGTCAGCTTGTAATTTATACATACATCAAGTTCTTGTTGATTTATGTTTCTTTGTATTATATTTATACCTTTTCTGGTATTGTTAGAGTTATGCATATGTTGTTGCCTATGTCTACTAGATCTACTGAGTAATATCACCACAACATGTACATCTAGAAATAAACTCCATCGAAGCAGACGAATTACTTTTAATCATGATTATAAAACAGTTCACAATAAATTGGCAACACCAGCCATCAAGAAATCACATAAAATACTTCACATAAATTCACAATATAATCCAAATGAAATTCATCAAATACATAGCTAACTACCCATGGCGTCGACTAATTTCTGACCATGTGGTCAACTCCCAAAACGAGACTTCTTACCCACAATTCAACTGTTGTCCATTTGTTTCTTAGGTGAGACACAAATATAAAGTGTACTCTGTGCTTCCCAACTATATTCATGTCACTGGCTATCAAACAATGATGTGACAACTGGCCTTGAGTTTGTATCTTTGACTGAATGATTCAACATATTGCCGATAAGAAAAATCTTCGTTTAAACTTTTCAGAATGAGGTTTAGAAACAATGTTTCTTTATCCTCTTCATCATAAGAATCAGAAGTTTTAATAGTTGAAATAGATATTTAAAATTATATATGTTTAATATATTTACATATGTATAATCTGTTGGCACACCTAATTTATGTATGTGTCTGCGGGCCGCATACACAACTCCGACGGGTCGCATGTGGCCCCCGTTCCGTGTAATTTGACCACCCCTGATCTAGAATATAGATTGCAACAATATCATTAAACTTCTAACAGCCATCTAACTTCACGTTTAAACATATCAATAATAAGTGCATTTTCAGTGCGACAGAAAATAAATCACCTTTGTAAATGTCTATCCAAAAAAAAATAAAAAAATTTTAATATTCATTTGCCCTATTTATTTTAGCCCACGTAAAACTGACACAAGCAGTGGCTAGAAACCATGGGCGCTAATGAGTTCATTTCTACCGGGCCCACCACAACTAGGGGCCCAAACAGGCTCATGTAAAATGTGTTAATTTAACTTGTTGACGCGGTCTTTTGCAGCTTCATTGTAAACTGAGGGCCGGACATGGCTCGCGGGCCGTAGTTTGGACAAAAAATGGAAATGTAGTCAAAGAGTAATGTTTCCCCAGATTTTTTTACCTTAGTACATAGGCCCTAAGATCTAGACTGCGTTGAACAAAAGCTTACAACCACGGGAGCTGGCGGCGGTCAGAGATTGAAATCGGGACCATGGAGACGACAGTTCAGTGCCTTTCCCAAGACCAGGCAGCCATCCCAACAACCCAACAAATTTAAATGTACCACATTATTTTGTGTGTGTGTGAGTTGTTTTTTTTTTTTTTGCGGTTTCTACACATTATCACATTACTTTGATTAAATCATATTTTATTCATTGTTCTTTAATTATATTTCTGGTGACCGGGCATAATAAAAAGCGAATGTTATTCTAATTACTGTAGTAAGCAATCTGTAAAAGGAAGATAACTCTTAAATTTCTAGTATTGCGTTTCATCAAATTTGATTTTTGCATTTTATGATAATAGCAATAGCAATAATTGCATTAATTTGTAATCATTGCTTTTTAAGATTAATTATGTTTACCTTTATTTTGGTTTAAGTCAGGGGTTCTCAATAGAAGGCTTTATAGTTGTTAGTTTCAAACTTTCCTCTCTATAAAAGGGTCTAATTTAACTTATACCAATTTCTTTCCCTTGTTCGAAATACCAAACGAAATAATTAATTACCGATAATTAATAAACTAACATGTTAATTTTTTATTTTTTTTTATTGATTCTTGTGTTGTCACAAATACATACATTGATGTCGGTCATGGAATAAACATATTGATGAAACTATAAAAAAAAAATCAAACAAAGCATTAGGATTTATTAAAAGAAATTTCTATAAATCAAATAAGAAATTAAAACTAAAATGTTATTTAACCTTGGTTAGGCCAATAATAGAATTTGCATCTTCCGTTTGGGACCCCTCAACTCTAGAAAACATTAAGAAACTGGAACACACACAAAATAGAGCAGTGAGATTCATAACAAACGAATATTCACATTTGACTAGAATAACACCTTTAGTAAAATCACTAAATTTAGAAAGCCTTCAGGACAGAAGACTCAAAAGTAAAGTAGCAATTATAAATAAAACACTGAACCATAATCTTCAAAGACAAAAACTAAATTTAATAAAATACTCTGAAAGACACAAAGATAAAGGCACATTTCTCGTCCCATATGCTAGGACAAAATTGTACAAATACTCCTTCTTCCCTAGTGCTATTAGAGCATGGAATGGGTTGCCTGAGCTAGCCAGGAAAACCAGTGACTTGGCAGAATTTAAGTCATTGGTTAATTTGCATGACTAAATGCATGACGCGTAGGACGTAATCATCTTCTTTTTTGAAGTAACATCTTATCTTATCTTATATAATACAGACGTTACTTCAAAAAAGAAGATGATTACGTCCTATGCGTCATGCATTTAGTGCATCTGTATTATATAAGATAAGATAAGATAAGCTTTGTTTTAAAAAAAAGTAATCTTTCTATTTCTTTTCTTGTTATTCATTGTTTCTTATAGCATTAAGTTTTGTGGACCTGTTAGGCGCCTCCGGGCTGTGTCTTGTGTAGGTCAACACGGAGGTAACACTCGACTCATCAAACAACACAGGTGAAAGGTCAACGACATAAAGGTAGTCGACGCTGATGAACGATGTCGCACAAAAAGTTTCATACGTAATGAAGGGAACCATCGAATGTCAGATTAAACTTCAGAAACTAAAGCATGAGCGGTCCCAAACGGAGGATGCATATTCTATTATTGGCCTAACCAAGGTTAAATAACATTTTTGCTGTATGTTTTTATTTGATTTATAGAAATTTCTTTTAATAAACCCTAATGCTTTGTTTGATTTTTTTATAGTTTCATCAATATGTGGATTCCATGACAGTTTTTTTCATTTACTATAACACCTAGGTATTTTGCGTCTTTAGTCTGTGTTACTGGTTTGCCATGAATAAGATAACAACTGACATTTCTCTGGGCGGAGAGAAATGCTCCAATTATCTGTTGGGAAATAACCGCTAATTACGGCCATTTAGTTGAAAATGGCAGGATTTAGCTCCCCTTCTGCCATAAATAGAATCAATTTAGTTCTAATTGATTCACTAATTAGTTAATTTTTATGATTGATTTGTCATCGGCTATGAAAAATTATGCAAAATTTGTGCTTGATCCTCCGAGAACGGGAAATGGGAACACAATATTGTGTCCAAACTTTTGACCAGACAGAGTTCAATATAAGCTTTTTACAAATATTTCCAATAACACAAAGTTATTTTCGATAGTGTATAGTTAATCTCTATGTCTAGTAT